TGGGTTAGGGTCTTGACGGTGATTCTGAGACACAGGCAACAATTTGAACTCCAACAACTTCCGAGTATGTCCATGACTTTAAGCAAGACCTGATTGCGTGCAACATTATGAGGCTGAGAGTGTCACTCTATTTGTCCCAATGAACTAAGACGTATTTACTTTTTCAATTGTGCAGACATTTGTTCTCATCCATGCTATAACATTACATTAGAATATTCAGAAACAAATTCTGTTGCATTAAAAGAAGAAATTCAAGAGTTTTAGAGACAATTGTTGACTCCAGGTCCTTCAATCTTAAACAATCTTAAACATGAGCCATAAATTACATGAGATTGTTTTTCTGTTTATACTTCCTCAGTAAAATTCTCTCTCTCTCCTAAAATGCCCATTCTATAGCTTTCCCTAACCCCACATGCGACTTCTCCAAATTAAATTTCTAGGCCTATCCTTTCTCACAGTGTTCTATATCCATTCACTGAAAACGTGCTATCAACTTTACCTTTTAAAGGCATCCCCAATTTGTCCATCTCTCTCCATCTCCTTTGATACTACCTGAAGTCTAACAATATTATCTCTTGCTTAAACTCTTGTAGTCTCTTCCAGCTGTTCTCCTACCCTCCAGTCATGCTTTCTTTGAGTGTTTTTTTAAATCCAGGAAGAAGAGTGATGACTGTAGATACACAATCTCATATCTTTCCTGAGTAAATTACACTTGGCCTTCATAATAATGCATAAGCTCCTTAAAATCTCTCATTCAATCCTTCATCAAGTCTCATTATTTCTACCTTCAAAATATAATCCCCTACCTCCACTTCCATTATCACCCTCTGTTCCAAATCAGTATCCTGTCTTACCTGGATTATTATTATTATATTTAACAAGTACATTATTATTACCTCGAACGCTTAGTTTTACTCCCTGCTGCCTCCCTTGCCTCCTGAAGAGTGAACCTGTTAAATACAAAACATATCATGTTATAATCCTGCTCGCAATACTTCAATGACTTCTCATCTTATTCTGAATTTAAATTCCAAATGTCTATTAATGGCTTACATGATATGGCCACCACCACCTCTTTTTCTTCTTTTCTTACTATGCTCTCCTGGCACAGTGACCTTAGCATGCCATTTTCCTGTTTTGGACTTCTGCACATGCTGTTCTCTATGTATGAAATCCTTTTCCCAAGATAGCCTTGTGATGCTTCCTCACTTCCTTCAAATATCACCTTCTTAGTGAAGTTTTTCTTGATCATCAAAAATTATAACCTTCCTAAACACAGCTTATACCCTTTCCTACTTTAATTTTTCTCTGTAGCATTTTTCACCATCTAACATACTATGCCTTTTATTTATTTCTCATGTTTGTTGCTTGCCTATACCTACTAATATCTAAGGCTCCTGTGAGCAGTGTTTTTGCCTATTCTGTTCACTGCTCTATTTCTAAAACCAAGAACATTGTCTGGTATAAAGTAGGTACTCAATAGATATTGGTTGAATGAGTTAGTAAATCTACAGTCACTGTAAGTTCTGATCCTTGTGCTTTACTGGTTGCATCTCAAGACACCCACCTCCCCTCACTCTGCCACTTGGGTACTTCTCAACAAGAATTATTTATAATTTCTAAACAAATAATGCTCTTTGCTATCTCTTGACTCTTTGACGAAATACTTGCTATGTTTTGAAAGCTATTTTTTCCCTCATTTTCATCTAGATAACTCCAAACTGAACTTCAGGACTCAATTTGTAGATCATTCTAAACAATAAATTATTTCAGATACTTCCTCTAGACAATATACACACTCTTTGAGGGTGGGAAATGTGTTTTGGTCACTGATTTATTCCCAGTAACTTTCACAAAAGTTGATCATTCAGTGTTCAATAACGATTAAATGAATGAGCAAATAAATGAGGTTGGTTCCATATTCCATGCATAAACGCAGTTATCCATGCTTGACTGGGGCCCCGTAGGCTGCTACAATCCTTGCCTCTCTTTTCAAAGACTCAGCAGAGCATTTGGGGCCTCCGGATTCTCATGGAAAGGTACAATTCATCCCCTCCCTACTCCCACCAGTTCTGGGTTAGAAATGCTGCGAAGTTTAAACAATTATCATCTTAGACGTAGAAGGCTTGATCCCAGGCTTCTCAGACTACTTCTAATGATTTCTCGTGGTCACAGCTGGTCAGTTATGTTTCTACTTCCTAAATCAAGGAGTCTTTTCTCTTCTGATAGTGACCTTGAAATATCAGCTTTGCCTAACACTTCCTTCTCCTATGTTTAATATGAAAGGATTACTTGCTAATATTTCATCAATTAATGTAGCCTTTTGCTGGCTTAATTCTAGCCACCCTGGTCCTTTTGTTATTTCTGGAACATTCAAGTTTATTTCCACCTCAAGCCTTTAACACCTGCTCTGTCGTTTTGGAATGCTCTGCTTTTTAAGTCTTCTCATATCTTACTCCATCACATAACAAAATCTTGCTTGAAAATTCCCTCTTTACCGAGGGTTTTTCTGCTCACACATTGCTGCATTACTCTCACTTAGCACTGTCTGAAATGATTAATCATTTACTTGTCTATTGTCTGTCTCTCCAACCAAAACGTAAGTCAAGAGCACAGTCTTTTGTTATTCTTTTGCCCACTATATTCCTAGACTGTAGACTCCGCCTGGAAAATAGCACACTCGACAACTCTTAGTGAATGAGCTAATACTCCTCCGCTCAAACATTTTTGCCCTTCTAACTGCTGCTTGTTCTTTAAGACTCAGTTAAGGCAGCTCCTCTGCAAAATTATCCATGGTTCTTTTTTCCCCTCAAGGCTATTTCAGGGCTTCCTCTTTCATTTATCACACATGCTTCTTAATATGCTTCACTATGTGTTATTAGGTTTTATTTTAGGAATGAAAGTACTGAAATTTACTGTGAGCTGAAAAACATGCTAAGAGTTTACTTTGAAACTTTCATATATACATATTTAAATTGTGTAGAGATCCTTGTGGAATAGACGTTGCTAGATTCATTTTAATAGAAAATTGAGCTCATATAAGTAAAATAATTTTCCTAAGTCACACAATTAGAAAGTAGAACTTTCCAAACCTGATTTCAGGTATAGTATACTTTCTAGTGTCTCCTGGTAACTCTTTAACTCATTATAAGATATCAGATAACATGAATCCCATATGAGGACTGAAATTGCAAGTACACAACACACGTATGGATTTCAAATGGAGTTTTATGCGTACTTCGGAATTTGCAGTGGCTTTAGGGTTTTTCTCAATTTTATGTGTCCACAAGCACACAAGACATGAACTACCCATGACACTCACACATGTATTCTATTATATTTTATTTTTTGTGTATAAGAAATCTTAGATATTCCACAGGATGACACCCGAGTTTCACATATACCCATTATTGCAGAAACAGCTTTCTCATCATGACAGAAAAAGCTTTCTCACTCCAGACAAGATGAATCACTGGTGTGGGGCAGGGTCATGGCCTGTCAAGAGTTAAATGTCAACTGTGGCTAGATACCTTGGATGAGACCAGCCTCAAGAGAGAACTGCAGCCACGTAAGCCTCATAGTACAGAATTTTGTCTTTGGTCCTCTGCTGCTCCCTTTCTGGATCCTGAGCTAAAAGTGTGCAGGAACATGACATCCTCAGTCTTCCTTCCAGGCGTTCAGAGCTCTCCTTGGTAGCATCTTATCCAGGCCTACTTTCCTCAGAGATACTTCAAAGCCAAAATTACAAATACTATATCGAAATGTATTACTCAAAGGATAATTTTTTATCTGGAGTGACATGGGTATACAATTGTAATGCACAGATAAGAGGGGATAAGGAATTATCTCTTCTTGGTTCATTGGCTTATGACCTTTCTGACATGGTCAGTACCTCAATCTCTTTGCGTTTACTCCCCGCTACCACCATGTTCTCTACTCTTCCCTGAGACACTAGAGAACAACAATGACAATAAAACAACTTCAGATATTTCCTTAAATACATTGTCCCTTCTCTCTCTCCTTTGCCTCAGCTTTGCACATGCTGGTCCTTCAGACTGGACCATAATTTTCTTGTTTGATTGACTAACTTGCATGTGTCCCTTTAGGCTGGCTACTGGGTCAATTCAGGAAAATCCTTCTTGACCCTCTCTTCTCCCAGCTGGAGGAAGATCTCTCTCTTTTTGTTCCTATGTAAACTTCTTTTTACTTTGAGGCACACAATCAACATATGGCTGTATAAGAAACCATCCCAAAATTTAGTGTCTTAAAAAACAAACATTTATTTAGCTTAAAAATCTGCAATTTGGTCTGGTTCAGAGTAGGATTGATTGTCTGTTTCACTGGGTGCCAGCCGGAGAGGTGGGAAGGATGGGGCCTGGAATAATTTGAAGATTTCTTCACTCACTAGCAGTCAATAATGATCCAGCTAAGGTTGAGACCTTAGCTAGTCTATTGGCTGGAACATCTACATGTGGCCTCTCCATGCCATCTGGGCTTCCTCTCAACATGGTGGCTGGGTTTGAAAAGCAAGCATTGAGTGAGATATACAGAAATATAGAAGAATAAGAAATAGAGATAGAAAAAGAGGGAGAGAGAGGGTACCAATAAAAAACATATCACCTTTTATGACCCAGCTTTGGAAGACTTACAGGGTCACTGCCACAATGTTCAATTGATTGAGGCAGTTACAAAGTCCTACCCAGTTACAAGAGGAGAAGAAGTAGACTCCATCTCTTGATGGAGGAGAGACAAGTTTCTGGAAAAGAATGTGGGGTTAGAAATATTCCTGTGCCATTTTTGGAAAATACAGTCTGCCACATCCTACTGTATTGTGTATTTCCCCACCAGAATGACAGGTCTGTGAGAGCTATGACTTCCTGTTTATCCCTGTGTATATTTGAGTAAATAAATGTCTCCTTTATTACAGATATATTGGATATTATCAAGGATAGAGGAGTAAGGGTCTATTTAAGGAAATAATGCCTCAAGACTAGACCCATCTAGCGACAAAAGGCATGGGTCACACGATCTCGGATCTGTTTGGTCTTCACACTGTAGACAATTGGGTTCATCAGGGGAGGGAATAGAAGATATACAAAGCCCATGATCACCTGGACCAAATGAGGTGCCTGCTTCCCAAAGCGGTGGATGATGGACAAACCAATCATGGGAGTATAGAAGAGGAGCACAGCACAGATGTGGGAAACACAGGTGTTAAGAGCTTTGAGCCTCTCAGCCCTGGATGCAATGGACAGCACGGTACGCAGGATCAGGGCATAGGAGAAGAGAATGAGCAGTGAGTCTACACCCACTGTGGAAACAATGACAAACATGCCATAGATGCTGTTGGCTTTGATGTCTGCACAGGCCAGTTTCATCACTTCCTGGTGGAGACAGTAGGAATGTGAGAGGACTGGGGAGCCACAATAGGGGAATCTTTTGAGCATAAAGGGCAATGGGAAAATGAGCGCTACACTACGGCCCAGGGAAGCCAGGCCAATCCTGCTGATGACTGTGTTGGTGAGAATGGAAGAATAATGCAAAGGGCGGCAAATGGCCATGAAGCGGTCAAAGGCCATAGACAGTAGTACAGAGGACTCCAGGAAGGACAAGCAATGAATGAAAAAGAGCTGAGCAAAGCAGGCATCATGACCAATATCTCGTGACCCCATCCAAAAGATGCCCAGCACTGTAGGGAAAGTGCAGAGAGACAGACCCAGGTCAGTCAGAGCCAGCATGGACAGGAAGAGGTACATAGGTTCATGAAGCGAGGGCTCTGTTTTAATGACAAAAAGAATTGTACAATTACCCAGGATGGAAACCAGGTACATGAAGCACAGTGGGATAGAAATCCACATGTGCATGTGCTCCAGCCCAGGAATGCCACTCAGCAGGAAAGTAGAGGAAATGCTGCTCTTGTTTTCCAGGGATCCCAATGTCATTGTGTGTGGATGGAAGGGGAGAGTTGGATTCCTTTCAAACTCCTGAAATGAATTGAGAAAAAGCTAGCAATTTTACTTGGAAAGAAGAAGAAGAAAAAAGATTAGAATCAACTACACCTAGAACTGTACAGCTCCTCCAGTGGTCATTTCCTTCTGGTCCCTGGTTCCCTCTAAACATTTTTTTTAGGGAAATTTTTTCTTTGAAGTTTTTTTCTCTTTAGTCCTTCACGCTAAGAGGTGTGAGCAGCTTCCTTCCTCCTGTTGATTATACTTAATTTTGTCTACATCTTAAGAGTAGACCTTTAATTAAACACTTCTCACATGCCTCTTTTCTGCCAGGACTCTACTAACCTTCTAACCTTCCTCCCAACTTCTTTTCCTTTCCTTTCTCTTACCTTATTTCCTTTGCTATTGCTCTTTTATCTTCTTTCCTGCCTTGCTTTCTTCCTTCCTTCTTTCTTCCTTTCTTTCTTTTCCACCTTCTCCTCTGGTCTTTCTGTTATGGAAGCCCAGCTTGATCCAGAGAGCTCGTAGATGCTACTCAGCTCACACAATTCCAGAAAGAACTGGAAAGTGGGTGAATGGCTGTCTATAAAATTATTCTTGACTGTTGGAGTAAGAAATCAAAGCTCTGATCCTCACATCAGTCCATAACTGTCACTCCCTATAAGTCTAGGTATTCTATTCTGTGAACATAGTCGGGAGGAGAAACTGAAGCAGCATCAACCATGGTCACTCCCCCAGTCACAAGTCAGAGTCCATGAGAGTCCACAGAACAAAAGGCAATGATGCTCATAAGGCTCATTTTTCTATAGATGAAGAAATGATGACTCAGGAGAGGACAGTCATTGGGCAGAGGCCATCTGACAATTTAAGCCTCCTGAATTCCAGAGCAGTGATCGTCTCACTTCCAAATAATAATCCCATAGAGGGGCCAGCCTGGTGGCTCAACTGTTAAGTGTGCACTTTCCGCTTTGGGATTCACCAGTTCGGATCCCAGGTGCGGACATGGTACTGCTTGGCAAGCCATGCTGTGGTAGGCGTCCCACATATAAAGTAGAGGAAGATGGGCACGGACATTAGCTCAGGGCCAGTCTTCCTCAGCAATAAAAGGAGGATTGGCAGCAGATGTTAGCTCAAGGATAATCTTCCTCAAAAAATAAAATAAAATAAAATAAAATAAAAAAATAATCCCAGTAGAATGTGAGCTCAGAGAAACCAGAGGCGTTGCTTTGTTTAATTCTGTAAAGAATGTGCCCCAGTATACAGTAGGTGCTCAACAATGTTTTTATGCATGAATGAGAGTTAAATTTTATTTAGTTAGCTGTTACTAACTTGGTGCATGTTTTATCTCCTTAAAAAAATCCTGTGAATACAATTCTGTTAATAATACTATGGTATAAACGAGGAAACAGAGGCTTAGAGAAAATGAACATTTAAGACCAAAGACATAGCAAATGGCCCAAAATAGGATTTGAACTGAGATCTGATTTTTCTCTAGATTCCAGATTGTAAACAACTGTTATATTTTCTTCCCACATAAAGGACAATTCACCGTCAACTAGCAACAGCTAGCATAAAAATCAAGAGCTTAACAGGCCTTCAAAAAAAAGTGCTGTCTCTTTAGCTGAATTAATAAATAAACTTACTGGAGAAATACACACAATATATGCTTAGACATTTTCTTTCTCGTTCCAAATACCAGTGAAATTAACAGACAGTGTCGTTAACTCACTGTCTACTTGAAGGTCAGATTGACTCGTGTGCAATGTTCCTCAGCTTCTGCTTTGACCATAGTCAGTGGTCCCTACATTATTCATCAAAGTGAATCAGAAGAGTCATAATAAACTTACCTGTCAGAAACAGGCTAGGTACATGGTGAGTAACAATATAGGGGCCAGCCCCATGGCTGAGTGGTTAAGTTCACACGCTTCGCTTTGGCAGCCCAGGGTTTTGCTGGTTGAGATCCTGGGCGCAGACATGGCACCATTCATCAGGCCATGCTGAGGCGGCATCCCACCTGGCACAACCAGAGGGACCTGCAGCTAGAGTATACAACTATGTACTGGGGGACTTTGGGGAGAAGAAGAAGGAAAAAAAAAGGAAGATTGGCAACAGATGTTAGCTCAGGTGCCAACCTTTAAAAAAGAAATAAAAATATAACATGAAACCTAAAGTAGAAAAATTTTTTGATATGAAAATGAAGTAGGATTATGAAAAAGAAAGAACTGTAATACCTAATGTACATCTGCTATTTGTCATTCACTGTACCTGGAATATTGCAAAAGAAAAAGCATTTAGACCTCAGAAAAGCCTTGCAACTTAACATTATTACCTCAAATTGCAAATGAGGAGAGAGAGCCTGAGAGAATGTGCTAATGTGCCTTAAGTAATACTGCCAATCACTGGCAGAGCTAGAATTCAAACTTACATCTCTGGAGCTCCAAGACACATCGGAAAATTTGGAAACATTTAGGTTAACAAATCCAGGCAGTTTTTTTAAGTTGGAACAGCCTAAATGGGGTAGAGATTCAATGACAAATGATGGAGAGAAATATCAGAAAGTCTTTGGTCCCCATTTTTTTGTAGCTATCAGCTTAAGAGAGATTCTCTTTGGAATCAGAGCTTGAACTTCACATTTTAAGGGAGCAGGGGAGAATGGAAATTGGAGAGAGACAATTATCAGGATAAGTTGAAGGAGGGGACATGGACATAATAGAAAATCCAGAATAGTAAAGCCAGGAGAATCTGCTTGGGAATGATCACCTTAACCTGTTGGCCAGAGAGATCTTAGTCAGAAAACTATTCTAAAGGCTTGTTATTTAAAAGTCTTCAGAGTGTCCATTGTCAGGTTTGGAGAGGATTTCACTGTTCCTGACCAGCACAAAACACAGTTATCCAGGATAGAGTGGAGTGGGAGGTTTAACAAATGGCCTTTCTGCCACGAGTTGCTGTGCTTAGAGAACACTTCTTACAGAGACCTGAGCGACTTCAATGACTGCTTCCAATTCTGTTACTCATACTTTGTAGTCACTCAGGAAAATGTCCTTTTATGTCACAGACAAGATTTTCTCCCAGAGGATCGTATTACTTCCTACCCTTCTATGTTTTTTTCTTAAAAATAACTCCTGATTCTGCTAACTGTGTCTGAGGCTAAGGGGTAGAAACTGAGCCTATAATAGCTGAGCTCATCGCATCCCTGCACCTCAATTTTTCCTGCCTAACTTGCCTGTGTCCCTGGGTCTCAGCAACATTCCTACTGTTATCATGTAGGAAGAAACTCTCTGACCAGGAAACTGAGGAAGTTAACAGATGTGAGAAAGCTCTTGTCTCCTTTCTGAGCTAGTTCTACCTAGATCAGGGATCCCATGAAGTAAGCAAGATCTGACGGCAGGGGTCACCACTTTCAGGAGGCACTCTCTGCAGGCTTTCTTGTATCTCAAAGTCCCTTCTCTCCTTCTCCAAAGCTCGGGCTAAGCTTTCTGGGACATCTTCTTGGCTCCACATCTTAGCACCAAACACCTGCCCACCAAATTGACTCCTCACCCACCATGGTTAGATCCAGAGGCTCCAGTCTTTACAATGAGCGATAAGGAAGGCTAAAACAAGAGGCTCTGAAGGGTTCGTAGAGACTGGAAGGTGGATGTTTAACTGCCTGATTTTTATGAAACTACCTGAGGTCCACACTGTACTGTACCAGGACTGGTTCCCTGGACCTTATTATCTCAGACCCTGGGGAGAAGAGAGTGATCCTGTGAGATGTCTACATGGGAAGCAGAGAATGACATGCACTGTAGCAACTTTTTAAAGATCTGAGGAAAGCTTTGAACAACCCCCACACCTTCAGGAAAGCGGAGTGGGTGTTGTTAATAGTGTTTCATGTATTATGTATCACAACTGTATAGTTTGTGCACACAGGATGTGACAGTGTGCATGTTGGGTATATATAATCATATGTAACATTAAAAGGGGCTTTTTAATTAAATGCATTTCCCATCACTAAAGGGGAAGAAAGAAGTCAAGCCAAGTTCTTGTGAATATTGTAATAGTGTGGTTGCTTACTCTTGGTGACCCAGGTAGTCCTATATGCTCCTGACTCCTGTCTACACTCAGGGACTCCGTCTCCTTGTCCTGTCTTTGATCCACTCAGAATTCAGCCCTTTGTTTTCAGATCTCAAGGAGCTAATTGGATAAACTAATCTGTTTTTATAACTTTGTGGGCAACATGAGCCTCTGCAAAGTCTCCTTAAACCTGACAAGGTGTTTCATATGTTAATACAGGGATATGAAGAGTTAATCATCCATTTTGGGTCTCATAAAGCTGATAGAGAAGCACTTTAGAGATAGCAATGGAGGCCCATTTCAGTTTTCATTACCTACCTAATTAGTACCCAGCTATTTGGATCTCTTTTGGGAGTATAAATGTATAGATATTAAAGAATGTTTCAGAATTCCCAAACCAATCATAAGAGGTTATTCCAGTTCCTTGGCCTGACTGATTCCTGTGAATGTGGTGGGCTTCTTCACGTGTCCACAATCCATTAATTTTTGGTCAAACACATTGTAGACACGTTTGAGTGTTATGAAGCAGTGTTTTTCAAATGATAGTCCCCAGATAATCAGGATCAGAATCAGCTGTAATATTTGTTAATGCAGATTTCTGGGCTTGACCTGTCGTGCAGAATCAGAAACTGATCATTTGTGACAACCACAAAGGTTTAGGAATTTTCATATATCCTTGTCTTTATCATTTGTTTTCAACTCTGTTTCCAGAATTTTTTATTCCCTCTATAATTAAAAATGCGTCTTTACTTTTAACATGGATTTCATTCCAAAACACAATCATCTCTTCTATTAGTTTTCCAGGGCTACCATAACAAAAGACCAGATTGGGTGGCTTTCACAACAGAAATTTATTTTCTCCCAGTTCCGGAAGCTAGCAAAGTCCAAGATCAAGGGGTTGACAGGTATGGTTTCTTCTGAGACCTCTCCCCTTGGCT